CGGAGCCAGCCTTGCCCCCGCCGCGGCCCGTTCGCCTCTGTTCCCTCCTGAGCTGCCTTCGAGGAGCGGCTCACACGTCGCCCATCACTTCAGGCTAATTAGACTCCGCGGAGGCAATTAGAGCTGCAATTTCCAGCAGACGCTCAGCCGAGGAGGCTGCCAGGGCCAGAGCAGAGGCTTCGCCTGGTCTGGGCTTTGCTGGGAGGCTCCGGGCAGGTCCCTTTGTGCCAAGCAGCCGCGGCTGCCCTGGAGCAAAGGGAACGGGCCGGGAGCCACGACGTTCCGGGTGGCCGTGGGGCTCGACCATTCTCCTGTGCAAACCAGGGGCAGCAGCAGCTGGAGGATGGAGCCGCAAGCTGGGGTGGGAGCATCTCCCGCTCCCAACCTGCGGAGCACAGAGCTCCGGTGGAGGCCCCGGTGCTGCGGGATAACGGACTGAACGCCCGCCCCAGAGGCGGCGGCGCTGCCCAGGGCCCGGATTTCCGCACCGCGTCCGCGGAGCTCCGGCCGGGAGGGAAGGTCATCGCTCAGGGCCGCATAGGCCGCCGCGTCACCGCTCCGTGCCTCGGTTTCCCCATCTGCTGCGGCGAGATAACGCTCGCCGGCGTGATCCTGCGCTATCTCCCGGGAAGGGTGCAGGGATTAGTTAGCTAATGCTCGCGAGGAGCTTTGAAGATGAAAAGCCGTGAACAAGTGCCAAGAAGCGCTGAGCTGGATCCTCCTCGCAAGTCATCGTTTCATGTCCTGGGACTCTTCCATCTCCGCCGAGCGCAGGCGGCCGGGCGGGATCTTCCCAAGACCTGCCCCTCCTGATCCCATCTCCCTGCGCGTCCCACTCGGGGTCGGCTCTAGGCCACATCTCAGCGACGTCCTGCAGCCCGCGAGCGCTGGCAGAGCAGGGCCCAGAGCACAAGGCAGGGTTCCTATAAGAGCAGCGCTCGGATCCCAGGCAATTGGAATTAATTATTCGGGAAAACTCTCATGAGGCCCCGGGCCAACCATTTAACTGAAGTTTCAGGCTGTTTTGCTGCCTGTTCCTGTGCAGCAGCCGGATGGGCGGCCAGCGCCTCCAGGCCCTGGTCCCACTCCCGCTGCTGATCCAGGCATCCCGGCACTGCTCCAGGTGGATTGGTCCCTCCGAGCTGTGCCCACATCCCTTCCCTGCCTTCGAGGAGGGATGTTGGGGCATCCCGGGAATCCCTCTGCATCCGGCTGCCCTGGGCCAAGCGGACCTGGCCTGGCATCCCAAGGACATGTCCCCACTCCGGCTTGGAGCCCGTGGCTACATCTGGGAATTCCTGATGGCTCCTGTGCCGGAGGGATGGCCGTGACTCCGAGCGCAGATCCCGGCCTCCCGTTGGAGCGGGACCTCCCGGCCGCGACTTCTTCCCCACGAGGAGCCCAACGGCTCACGCAGCCCCGGCTTGCAGCTAGTAGAAAAACAAAACATGTTTTTCACATTAAAATCTCCCTTGAAAAACAATGGTTTAAATTAAGCACAAGAAAAGAAAAGCGAGGAATCCACAAAGCCAAAAAAAAAAAAAAGGGAAATTCCTGGTGGAGCCCGAAACCTCGGGGCCC